GTTGTTGTTAGGTGCCATCAATTCGGTTCAGACTCATAACTACCCTATGTACCACAGAACAAAACACTGCCTGGTCCTGCGCCATCCTCACAATCATTGTTGTTTGAGCCCACTGTTGCAGCCACTGTGTCAATCCATCTCATTGATTCCTTCTCTACGACTAGTCCCTCCTGATAACAAGTCCAAAGTACATGAGACGAAGTCTCACCATCCTCCCTTCTAAGGAGGATTCTGGCTGTACTTCTTCCAAGACAGATTTGTTTGTTCTTTTGGCAGTCCACGGTATACTCAGTATTCTTCACCAACACCATAATTAAAAGGCATCAATTCATCTCCAGTCTTCCTTGTTCATTGTGCAGCTTTTGCACGCATATGAGGCAATTGGAAATTCCATGGTTTGGGTCACATGCACTGTAGTCCTCAAAGTGACATTTTTGCTTTTGAAAACTTTAAAGAGGACTTTGGCAGCAGATTTTCCCAATGCAATACGTCACTTGATTTCTTGACTGCTGCTTCCATGGACGTTGATTGTGGATCCAAGTAAAATGAAATTTTTGACAACTTCAATATTTGCTCCTTTTATCATATTGTTGCTTATTGGTCCAGTTGTGAGGATTTTTGTTTTCTTTATGTTGAGGTGTAATCCATACTGAAGTCTGTAGTCTGATCTTCATCAGTAAGTCCTTCAAGTCCTCTTTGCTTTCAGCAGAAAGTTTGTAACATCTGCATATAGCAAGTTGTTAATGAGTCTTCCTCCAACCTGGATGCCACATTCTTCTTCATATAGGCCAGCTTCTCAGATTATTTGTTCAGCATACAGACTGAATAAGTATGGTGAAAGGATACAAGCCTGACGCACACCTTTCTGACTTTAAACCACATAGTATCCCTTGTTCTGTTTGAACAACTGCCTCTTGGTCTGTAGACAGGTTTCTCATGAGTACAATTAAATGTTGTGGAATTCCCATTCTTCAAACTGTTATCCATAATTTGTTATGATCCACACAGTCAAATGCCTTTGCACGGTCCATAAAACACAGGTAAACATCTCTGCTTTCAGCCAAGATCCATCTGACATCAGCAAGGATATCCCTTGTTTCACGTCCTCTTCTGAATGTGGCTTGAATTTCTGGCAGTTCCTTGTCAATGTACTGCTGTAACTGTTTTTGAATGATCTTCAGTATAATTTTATTTGCATGTGATATTAATGATATTGTTCGATAATTTCTTCATTCCATTGAATCATTTTTTCTCTGGAATAGGCACATATATGTATCTCTTCCAGTCAATTGGCCAGGTAGCTGTCTTCCAAATTTCTTGGCATTGACAAGGGAGTGCTTCCAGCATTGCATCCATTTGTTGAAACATCTCAATAGGTATTTCACCAATTCCTGGAGACTTGTGTTTTGCCAATGCCTTCAGTGCAGCTTGGACTTCTTCCTTCAGTACCATTGGTTCTTGATCATATGGTACCTCCTGAAAGGGTTGAATGTCCACCAATTCTTTTTGGTGTAGTGACTCTATGTATTCCTTTCATCTTCTTTTGGTGCTTCCTGCATCATTCAATTTTTTGCCCATAGAATCCTTCAATATTGCAGCTTGAAGCTTGAGTTTTTTCTCCACTTCTTTCAGCTTGAGAAATGCCATGCATGTTCTTTTTTGATTTTCTGACTCCAGGTCTTTGCACATTTTATTATAATACTTTAATTTGTCTTCTCAAGCTGCCCTTTGAAATCTTCTGTTCAGCTCTTTTACTTCATCATTTCTTCCGTTTGCTTTAGTTACTCTACATTCAAGAGCAAGTTTCAACCACTTTGGTCTTTTTTTTTTTTTTTTTCTGCCTTTTTAATGACCTTTTGCTTTCTTCATGTATGAGGTTCTTAATGTCATCCCACAATTTGTCTGGTCTTTGGTCATTAGTGTTCAATGCATCAAATCTATTCTTGATATGGTCTCTAAATTCAGGTGGGATATACTCAAGGTCATACTTTGGCTCTCATGGACATGTTTAAGTTTCTTCAGCTTCAACTTGAACTTGCATATGAGCAATTGATGGTCTGTTCCATGTTCCACAGTCAGCTCCTGGCCTTGTTCTGACTGATGATATAGAGCTTCTCCATTGTCTCTATCCACAGATGTAGTTGATTTGATTCCTGTGTATTCCATCTGGTGAGGTCCACCTGTATAGTCACCACTTATGTTGTTGTAAAAAGGTATTTCCCATGAATAAGTTGTTGGTCTTGCAAAATTCTATCATGCGATATCCCACAGCATTCCTATCACCAGGCCATATTTTCTAATTACTGATCCTTCTTCCAACTTTCTCATTTCAATCACCAGTAATTATCAATGCATCTTGATTGCATATTTGATCAATTTCAGACTGCAGAATTTGGTGAAAATCTTCAACTAGTGCATAAGTTTGAATAATAGTCATATTAACTGGTCTTCCTTGTAGGCATATGGATATTATCCTATCACTGACAGCATGGTACTTCAGGATAGATCTTGAAATGATCAGTAGAGGCACATTATTTATCATCCAACTCTTGCACTTGACTGGACTATAATTAGGTTAATGGATTAATGTCTATAGACCACTTGCACTTTTCCAGAAGTATCCAAGAAAATTGTACAATTTCTAAGACGTCTTTCAAATTTTGATGAGTAGAAGAATTCAAGTAGAGAATTATAATTCTAGAAGAGCAATCACAATCTTAGGTATTGAAGAAGAAAATGTTAAGCTGTTCTATATTTAAGGGAATCCAAAGAGATTGGAGACATATGAGCAGTATTAACGTCGCTAGTTGAATAATGTAACTAACAGATGTTTCCCTTGAACCTGATTAATTAGGTAATCAATCAGCAAGGAAGTGGTAGAAGCATCAACTCACAGGGTTTTAGAGCCGGAGGGATGGAAAGTGAGCTCCTGAGCTGACCTCTCCATCTTTCAGATGAGGAAGCTGAGTCACAGAGGAGCCGTCATTTGCTTGTGAGCATGAGAAGTGTGCTGGGAGCAGAGGGACAACAACAAGATGGCTCCACTGCTAAGCAGAACGTTGATCACATTTTTTAAAGAAAATATTCATTTACCACAGTCATTTTTTAGTCTGTAAAATCTATTAATTTAGAAAAAACTTGGGACTGGAATCTCTCCTTCAAAGAATCAAAGATAACCACTGTCATATATAAAGCAATATATGTCAAATATATA